TCTAATGGTAGTAAGAACATTAAAATCAGCTTGGTAGTTCATGAGAAATCTTTAAAAAACTTCTTTTTCACATATAAAATGTTTTTAAAAAAAATCAAATTTTTTAAAAAAATTTAATATATAAAAAAAAAGTTTTTTAAAGATTTCTCAAGAACCACCAAGCTGATTTTAATGTTCTTATTATTATTAGATGCATCTTAATAAGCTTTACAACTTTTGTTACAAGCCTAAGAATAATTTACTTAGTAAAAAAAAGTTTTAGAAAGAGGTGCTCCAAATTCGGGCTTATAATAAAATTTATATATAAAAAAAAAATTTTGTTTTGTTGACTGAAAAATCATTAATTAAATCATTAGACTTTATTCCTTAAACTGTAATTTAAACAAATTTGTTTGAAAAATTTAATTGTATTAATAAAACAATAATTTATTAATAATATGAAATATAAAATATATTTTTAAACTAAAACAGTTTGAAGATTCAAGACTCTAAAAAGTCTGAAGATATCTGAGGTTCCTTATTGGTACTGTTGTTGATGAAGACTTATATATGAAACACTGAGGAGCAGGTATATATAGTTTGAGTCAAGCTTTTCTTCTTGGTAGACTCCCTCGCATGTTCAGCATCCAAGCCAAAAGGGTTATTTTGGTAATAGTAGTGGTAAAAAACTTCGGACTCAATTGTCTAAAGCTTTTTAGTTCTATGATGAACAACTAAAAACATCTTCTTTGTCTTGAGCTCTCACAAATACAGTATTTTTTTTCCTTTCAATACTTTTGGCTATAATTTTTGACAAAAAGTAGAGAATTTAGCTTATTCTCTCTAAATGATCAGCAATATTTATCACTTCCATATCGGGAAAATCTGCATGATGACAAACAACATGTGTAAAATAGACAGTGCTAGCAAATTTAGTAACTAGATGAGTGTTTGGAAGAATACCTTACGTATCATATTGAAGACATACAAACATGTGATTATTGGATAGAGCACATGGAGATTTCAAAATTCTTATACTTTTAGATAAAGATATAGATTTAATTGAAAGAGTAAAGTATCGTAAAAGTCGGACACGTATACCCCCCATGGCGTGTACCCTCTACTAGTTTTAAGAGCTAGACGGTGACTTATACCTGGGTACATAAACATTATACATGTATATGTATCATCCCAGATAGACATAGTAAAACATATTGTCTCAATACGGCGTACCCCCCGTATAGAGGTACCCCGGGTACAGATTTGAGAAATGAAAATACCCGGGGTCACGTGTCTAACTTTTACGGTAAAGTGAAACGAGATATACAGGCATCCTAGTTACCTGTATATAATTTTTAGCTTTTGACACAAGTTATAGTGCATTTTATTTTAGTTTTATATTTCTTGTCAAGACTCTCACACTTAATAGTAGATTGTGACTCTGTATAATTAGAAGTTTTTGCCTAGTTAGCAGGTTTTCTTCTTTTTAGTAATAGTTTCTTTTAGATTTTAGTTTAATTTTTTTTATATATATTTCTTAGTATTAGTATCCATTTTCTTTGATGTATTAGTTTTATTTTTACTCCTTTTTTTGGTTTCTATTATTCCTTTTTTTTTTCTTTTTTCCTTCTCTATGAGAAAGTGTTATTAGTTTAGCAATATTCTATTGTAGGGTGAGAATCTTGACAGGGTGAGCAACAACCAGCTGAGAAATTCAGATAAAATAAGTTCAGAGTAAGTTTCAGATCTCTAAAGGAGGCTAAGTGTTGCTAAGCAGATCGCATCTGGGCAAAACACAGCAGTTTAATAGTTTATAGCATCTGCAAAGTATGCTGTGAGTAAGTTTATATTTTGGTCAGAACATTTATAGATTTAGATTTCTTATGCTGTATAAGGATGAAAGCCTATTCCTATAATAAAGTAAACAAGATTACTGAAGGAAAAAAAAAAAATTTTTAAAAATATATTTTACTAAAAATTTTTTATAATAAAACTTTACAAAAATTTTTACTATTAAAAAATTTTACAGATTTTTTAAGATTTTATATATTTCTTAAGCTAAAAAAAAAATTATTCTTAATACAAGTCTAAATTTTTATAAGTTACAAAGGTTATAATAATGAAAATTGTCATTCTTTATATAAACTAAAATATTAAATTAAGAACTATATCTTTAAAATTAATATTTAAAAAGTTTACAAAGAATAAGTAGATAATTTTTTTATTAAAAAATTTTTTTCAAAATTTGTCTATTTTTATCTTATAAACAACAGCAGAGGTTTTTTTTGATTTTTAACAGCTGCTCTACCTTGTTTAGTGCATTAAAAGTATATTGGGAGTGCGTTGAGTGTAACCCAAGTTTGTATAAGTTAAGCTTCTTCCTGCATTACAAATACAAAGTAGAATTTTTAATTATATTAGATAATTAGAAATTCTACTTTGTATTTATAATGCAGGAAGAAGCTCTTCTTATACAAACCTGGGTTACACTTGGTACACTCCTGATGTACTTTCAATGTACTAAACAAGATAGAGCAGCTATTAAAAATCAAAAAAGACCTCTGCTATAAACAACTAAGACCTTTTTCTTATACTGTAATATAAAATTAAATACTGCTATAATATAATCCTTATTTTTAAATAGAAAATAACTAATTGTATACAGTGTATTTGTATACAGAAAATAATTTGTAAATCTGTGTAATGTATAAATCAAAACAATTTATATAAGAATGAAAATTTAAATACTGCCTAAGGTTAGAATAAAGGTAAGTTTGAGATAGAAACAGAAAATAATTTATACCAAAATTTCACAAGAAATTTTTTTAATTAATATCTAAAAAGCAGTTTTATAAACAAAATTTTGAGTTATAACCAATTTTTTAAAGAATGCATTAATTTTATATTATACCTGATCGTGTAATCTGATTGGCTTTCTATATTTTTATATTTAAACATATGTATATAAATAAAAATTCTCTTTCAAATATTATTAAAAAAAATTTATTTAAATAAAAAAAATAGATCATAAACATATTTATAGTAAATTTTTTAGACAAATTTGTTTAGAAAAGGCTTACAGTTTAAAGAATAGTATTTAAATTAAAATTATAATAAACAAATCATTCATAAATTAATTCAGTTGAAGAATAAGAAAATAGGGTGTGGTGACTTAGTGAAGTTGGTAGGTTGTTGCACCCCTAAGTGGCAGGACAAGAGTTCGAATCCCACTAGCGATGAAATTTGAATTTTATAGAATGTGTTACAGCTGACTGTATGTAATTTGATGAATCATCAGATCTGTAGCTTTGGTTGTACCAGCTTGTACTAGAAGAATGTGGAACTATAGTATGATGCAATAGTTACACAAAATCTGAGTGAAGTATTTGTGTAAATCCAAGGGTAGGGTACATGAAATCCCGCTTGGCAAATCTCAAGTAGAGAGGTAGCACAAATCTTTGATAGTGCTACATAAAGGATTATTACCAAAGATCTGAAAACTAGACAGGACTGAGGTGTTCAGCAAGGCATCATACTAACCAGGCTGTCAGTATATTCTGAGGAAGGGGTCAGCCCTTTCGGGCTATCTGAATTAGAAGTTTAAGGACCAGTGAAATGATAAATGGTCTGTAAAGTAGGTGCTAGGGTTTGGGTAAACTCTACAAGAGCAGAAGTAGATAATGGTAGCGATTTTAGCTTACAAGTACTTGTTCTTAGACTTGGCATAAGTTACTAAAAGTCTAGGTTAGCCGGATTGTGAGTACAAAAAGCTCTAGCAACGATGCCTTAAGGATAAATTAGTTCTAAAGCTACGGTACATATCCAGAACTCTTAATTGACGAATGTAATGGAGTGTTCTAATAACACAAGGGGGCAGTGTACTTTATAAGAGTTTAAATAGGTAATTCCCTAGTTGGTTATAGGTATGGCAGCTAGTGTAGAATCTATGGTATATAGTTATCTATATGTGGCCTACTTAAATAGATACTCAAAAGACACATGTGTGGCTAGTTGTACTCTCTAATGTAATTGGGGTTCTGTTGTAAGCTCTTCACCTATTATATTTGAATAAAAACCTCTATGCCAAAAAGGCTAGTTAATAAAAAAAAAAAAAAGATAATTCAAAAATAATATATAAATAAAAAAGTAAATCTTAATTAGCAATTATCAGCAAATTTAATAAAGTAAAATATTTTAAAATAATTTATAAACTATAAAAAGTTATAATATTATATAATTATCTGGAGCATAATGACAGACACTAAATTTCTACATATTAAGTAATATAAAAGTTACGTTTTTAATGTGTTTCAACCATCAAACGTTTTTTTTTTAATACATTAACGTAATTATTATAAGGACTTAATTAGGCATCGCGCCCTGTGAAATAAATATTTTTCGCGCTTAGGATGCAATATGATTATTTATTACTTTTAGATTAAATTTAATTAAACTATATATATATATATATATTAAAATTTTCAATTCTAATCTTTTTATCAACATTATATCCAATATTCGCTAAATTTATTAGATTTTATTTGCAGTCTGAGCCTTGTATTATAAAGTGCTTTAAAGAACTATAACTAACTAGGTTGTTCTAAGCTATGTGATAATTAGTATTATACTTATTAAAAATAATAAAACAGTAGTAATAAAGCAATGTGGTACTAGTTATAATATAGCTTGACCAATCGAAGTTTAAAGTCAGATACATATATCACAAAAAATTAACTTATGAATTGAAATTGCATTTTTGCTTATTTGGCAATAATTGTCGCAGATTAAAATGAAATCTGATCAAAATGAAACTGGGAACCTCTCATACCCACCCTTAGAGCCTATAAAACCCACATATACTCATTTATTAATAAACCTAACCCTAAACCCTACCCCTAATGCTAAAAAGAACCCCAAAAAATGTCTCCCAAAAATTTTTAAATTTTCCTTAAAAACAGAAAAATTTCATTTTGATCAGATTTCGTTTTAATCTGTGACAATAATTAATAGTTAAATTTTAGCTATTCGATTACATAATTTTTACTTTGACCATCACTAATTATAGCAATGAATGACAAATTGCATGTATATGAAACTGCTTTGTCTATATCTAACATTAACTATAATGATATGCATTAAAAAAGATTTGTATTACAACATGAGAATTAGACCAATTAAGAAATAAGTCTGCATAACTATATTCTAATTTTGGTGTTTCTACTAATTGCTACCTCTTCCAGTTCTCTTTTGCTTGTAATAAGCTGTATTATAACCTACTTTTCCATATTAACAACATTTATACAAGCCTCTTGAAGAAGTTCTTCTTTGATTTTGCTCCTTTTCTATACTATTTATAAAATAACGCTTGGATGGTCTTCCTCTTCCGATAATATGAGATAGATTTTGAACACCTTGTGGAGCTTGAATACTAATTATTTCATTGTTTAATACTTTACAATCATTGTCTTCATTATCTTCTTTCAATAAGATTTGGTTTTTATCTACAGCACTATCAATGGCAGATTTAGAAGATTCCTGTAAAGTGAAAACAGCTTGTGTATGAATTGGGTATAAAGATCTTTTTTCCTTTTTTTTGCTCTGCATTTCATCATTATATTCATCCCTTTTATTTTTTTTTCTTGTTATATAATCTTGAAGTATTTTAATAATTTTATTATCATTACTATCTACCACCAACAATGTCACCTCACTGGCTAATCCCCAAATTTTACTATAATGATTTCTTTTCTGCAAAGCTTTTCTTGTAGTCAGAGTTGTAACTGAAACTGTAGATGGCCTTTGAATTAGGAGAATCTCTTTATCTTGACTTATGTCAATATTACCTATTTCATTATTAAATATAATATTCTCATCTTTGTATATTTGATTTTTTTGATAGGGGTCTTTGTACCATCGTGAAGGAATCATTGAGATGTAAAAAGCCACAGTTTTAGAATACATTATTACGTGAAAATAGTGCTGGCAAATAATTCCTCTCGAAGCGATCATAAGACATGAATATAAAAAAGATAATGGGCTTAAGATAACTATAAAATATATAAATTGATTTTTTTTTTTATGGATATCAGAGATTCTCCAGACTTCTTTTATGTTTTTGCTTCCAACTTCATCTATAATATTCTGAAAAGTAATTTTGTGGCATTATAATTATCTTCAAAAAACTCACATGATATCTCTTCATCATTTTCTTGTTCGAAGTTAAAGTCATCAGATGTTGGCTCAATTATATTAGCCGTAAGAAACAAACACTGTGTCATCATGTCCTTAATTATACTACTAATAGCATCTGTAAGATATTTGTTAATGTTTTTAGTTATCATTGGGAAAAGGTCATGTCCAGTAGTAGGTATAGTAGCGAATATTGTTGAGTCTTTATACTGATAGAATCTATTTCATTGTGTTTCTGTTTTTAAACATTCATCAAGACAATCTGCAAGTTCACACAATATACAGTTAAATTTGATTTCTTTTTTTATAACCCAATTATAAGATTCAACTTGAGATGTACTTTCTATATCAGCTGTAAATATTTTTGAAAGGTATGCATGAGCCCAAGACTGCCTACTTGGATACAAGATACACAACAAATAATCTTTTGCCATTAGATATTTATTAAGCATATCATTTCAGCGTTTTTAAAAAAGAGGCTCACAGAGACTATTACGGTATTGATAAAACATTTTCATAAAATCTTCCCATTTGTCACTGATTTTAGATTTGAGATTTTTGGGTAAATTCTGCTCAATATGAAAGATATAGTGCACAGCATATGTCTTGGGAAAAGTAATTCATATTGCAGCATCAAGTGCTAGGTCTGAATCAGTAAATATGACCGAAGGCTCCGTTTGTGTTGTATTTTTTATGCAAGTTAGAATCTAATTATGGGTATCAATAGTTTTATTGCTTACTAATACCTGATAGACAAGTTGTGTTCTTTTATTATTATCAATGATTACAAATAACCCTAAAGGCATTTAATATATATTAGTTTTAGCCATATTATCATTGATAACTACATCACAGTATTTCAACCACAGGTCGATCTGCCCAGGTGAATTCAAAATAATCGTATAAGTTGATTATCCTTATCTAATTCAAATTCTACAGACCATCTAGATTATTTATTTTATTTGCTAGCAAGTAATTAAGCAGATCAGATGCATCATTTGTCCTATATATATTTTCTTTTCTTTTAAATTGTTGAATTGCATTATTAAGATCACTATCTTGAAAATGCAAATTAGAAAAACACCATCTTAGTATGTTCTGCTATGCTGTAATTGACAGGTTCCCATATTTAGTCATTATCTCCACCTTTCTCAAAGCATCTTTATCAAGAGAACGGTATTTAAGCCTGAATTCTTGAGTATCCAAGTTGATATTATGATTGTGCTTATTCACAAGTGTGATAATAGAGATATGAGTTCCAGTTTCTCTATAAGAAAGGTTTATGTGCCATTGACAGTCAACTTTTTTTGTTTTTATATTTCTTTGCATACTATTTTGAGTACTCATTTGATTCTTATTAGGCTTGTACTTTTCTCCAAATTCACAAATGAAAGTTTGTTTGTGAATTTGTTCAACTTTATTTTTCTCCACTCAATATTTAATTAATGCAAATCCATTTCACTTCCCATAGTCTTCAAAAAAAGTCTCCACTTCTGCCCAAAAATTGAATACAATATCCGCAAGTATATCTTCTGACATTACTATTACCTTACTGCTTGTATCAACTGGTATATTATTATCAAGGTTTTTCAAATCTTGGTAAGTTAATGTCTCATTATTAGTTTTCTCTTTAGTATTATTATTGGGCAATGCTTGTATAGAACCTTCAGCAATCTTATCAAAGCAAACATATCTTTCTATTTCTATCAGCTCTTCCAGATTATAGTTCAAAAAGTTTGTTGTAATGGTCTTATATGATTTTATTTTTATTATTGAGGTAATGGGACTTTAGATTTAGTGAAGAGAAAATGATGAAAAAAATGTGATAAGGTAAAAGCGATAAAAAAATCTGACTTATGAGGCTCTAGGTTTGGTAAGGTGAAAGTAATAAAAAAAAAAACTCCTAGACTTATGAGGTTTAGATTTGGTAAAGCAATAGCAATGAAAAAATTAGACTTGAAAGCCTTAAATTTGGTAAGGCGAAAGTGATAAAAAATATCAAGACTTAAGAGGTCCTAAATTTAGTTAGCTAAAAATGATGAAAAAATTGAACTTAAGAGACTCTAAAAATTTGGTGAGGTGAAAGTGAAAAAAATCAAATTTATAGGGGCTTAAATTCAATAAGGTAAAAGCGATGAAACAAAATTAGCACTAAATATGATTTGCGATTGTTTGGTATACGATGAAATATGTGTATCACATCATATAAATTTTCTGTTATGCAATCTAATATTTCATTGCATAATAGTATAATTTTTTATCATTAATTTAGTAGCAATTACATAATTATAATCAAGAAAGTGCTACTGCAATTGAGAGTGGCTTCGTTCGTATTGTATTAATGAAGTCACTTATCTACGTTCTGTGATCACGTGATTATGGGATTACGTATATTTAAAGGCAAACTAAGTATATTGTGTTGAGTTATAATTATTAGCAGGAGCAATAATTAGTGATATCGCTGGGTACAACGCATATATTTATTCTTATTATAATTAACATATCAATAATGTAACTTTGAAATTTTTTGTCTGTCCCTTTGCATAATGCGTAATTACAAAACTATTTAGAAAACAACAATTAATTACTAGTATATTACCAAATATAGTAATACTCCAAACTTATATCAGTTTCCGATTTCTAATATATTTTGAAACTTAGCAAAATATAAAATTATATAATATAATATAAAATATTTTAAAATATTACATCTAATATTTTAATAGACAAATTATAAGTCATCTAAACAAAATATTTTTTTTATATATAAATTTTACTATAAGTGCAAATATGAAGCGCAACTATCTAAAACTTTTTTCTTACTAAGTAAATCACTTTTGGGCTTGTACCAAAGTTGTAAAGCTCATCAAGAAGCATCTAATAATAGTAAGAACATTAAAATTAGCTTGGTGATTCTTGAGAAATCTTTAAAAAACTTCTTATTTATATAGAAAATTTCTTTAAAAAAAATCGATTTTTTTTTTAAAGAAATTTTATGTAAGAAAGAAGTTTTTTAAAGATTTTTCAAGAACTACTAAACCAATTTTAACATTTTACTACCATTAGATGCCTCTTGATAAGCTTTACAACTTTTGTTACAAGCCTAAGAGTAATTTATTTAGTAAGAAAAAAAGTTTTAAATAGGCGCGCTTCACATTCATACTTATAATAAAATTTATATATATATAAAAAAATATTTTGTTTAAATGACTTGCAATTTTTCTATTAAATTAATTTAAAAAAAGAGTATATTTATTCCTCACCTAGAGTGAGATTTTATCCCTCTAAATTTGCTAATAAATTTGCAGGATCATGTATAATATATATGTAATAAAACAAAGAAATTTTTAAAAAATACTAATATTTCAAAATTCTGCCTATGAAACCACCTTTTAAACTCTAAATAAAAAAATTTTTTGCTAAATTTTATATATAATCTTTAATCCTAAAGTATCAAAAAATATTTTTTAATAAGTGAATAAAAATTCATCTAGGTGATAAATAAATTATCTCTTTAAAAATTTATAAAATATATTATAGTTTTTACAAATCATAAATTATTATGAATTATTTTGAAAATAATTAAATATATTTAAAATAATTAAAACTATTAAATATAGTTAATAGGCAAATCACAAGTAATTTGAACAAAAATTTTTTTTATATATAAATTTTACTATAAGCTCGAATATAGAGCGTGCCTATCTAAAACTTTTTTTTTACTAAGTAAATTACTTTTGGGCTTGTAACAAAAGTTGTAGAGCTTATCAAAAGATATCTAATGATAATAAGAACATTAAAATTGGCTTGGTGATTCTTGAAAAATCTTTAAAAAATCTTTCACAAACATATAAAATTTCTTTAAAAAAAATCAATTTTTTTTAAAGAAATTTTATATATCATAGTAAAAAAAAGTTCTAGATAGATGTGCTCTACATTCAAAATACTAATATTTTTAGAAATTTAATTAGTAATTCATCAGTTATTTGATGTATAATTATAGTGTAACATGATGCAGATTATTATATAAATCACATATACTCTGTATATAAAATTTCTATATAAACAATAGTTTGTTTATATAAATTTTACATATTCAGCTAATCATTTTTAGTGATATCTTGACAACTACTAGGCTATTTTTGATAATATTACTATTATTAAATGCATCTTGATGAGCTCTACAATTTTCACTTAATATAGAAGAGTGATTAACTTAATAAGAAAAGGTTTTTCTTAAGTAAACATCATATTTAGAATAGATATAATTTATTGTTCAGAGCGTAGCGTAAGACTTACAATAAATAAGTAAATACCAAAAAATGTCATAGATTCCGATCATCTGACAACCTACCTGCATATTCTTGCATATTTGTGTAACTTATCTGCTCCGGACATCTAACAGCATCTGTTTTCCTAGTATAGTGACCTGTATCATATTATATCATAATTATGCACCAGATAACTAGCAAATCACCAATTAAATTAGATAATCACTAAATTTTATTTATAAAATAAATCAATAAGTTTGAAATAAATTAGTATAAAAATTAAAAATATTAAATAAAATGAATAAAAAATTACAAAAAAGAAAACTAAAATAAGATTATTTAAATATATATATATATATTTTTTTAAACTTAAGGCGAGGTCATACCTCTCGTCTTTATTAATTCTTTAAGTTATTATACATTTCATATACAATCTTACTTATTAAACTAATTTCTGACTCA